CCGTTACTCAATATCGGATCAGTGCATCACCTCATTTAACCATCTATCCTTAAATTCCAGCAGGTTTTTCTGGGTGAACCGACCTCAGATAGCTCCCCATGAGGACACATGTCAGTGCAGTCTGAGTTAGTTACTGTGAGCAGAGGGAGAGTGACCTAAGCACGTGTTGGAGTAGCTTAAAGACACATCATGGCTCTGCCTCACAGAGAGTCCAGATTACCCTCGACACGTCAGGAAACACCTCAAAGATTATCTTAAACCTCCATGACTGGAGATCCCCAGATACTTCTGAACCACTGGAGCTGTGAGAGGGAACCTAACCAGCTTAAACTGGACGGGAAAGGTTAGTTTAAAAATGTATTCTGTTACAACCACTAAATTCTTGTAAAACCGTTGAATCAGTAACCTAATCCATGTACCACAATAAAAGAGGGGTGAAATCCTTAAAATTGGAAGCACCTGAATGTGTTTTTTGTTGTTATCCTGAAATAAGGTCTGTGTTTAACACAAGCTGAAGAAATGTTAACGTTTAAATACGTCAGTAAATACCCCACTGGAGAAATTAAAAACAGCAGTTACTAACAAGTGTCTTAATAATACAACGAAACGTCATCACGGCCAACATTAGCCGCCTTTAGCTTAACGGTGGTGGCGTGAAGTCATGTGACCGTGCTGTAGTTCCTTCATAGCCCAACATTTTACTCCAAAAATCATAAAGTCGTACTAATATGTGGAGATTATCTTGCTGAACAAATCTTGTAAGAATAATAAAAGTTTGTTTGACACAGAGATTATTTTCTGGAATAATCCAATTTTAAAAACCCATTGCTTTTTTTTTAGGAAGCCCTTGCGATGTTAACTTCTGGTTGGCCTACAAAAATACGTAATCACTGCACCACTCTTTAAAATAGCCTGATTACTTTCGGATCCATTTGCATTACCTCAATGTCAAATGCAATGCAAGAGAAAATAAATATCAGGCATTTTGAGCATAAACTGTGTTTTTTTTTAAACAAATCCGGTGTCCATCTACTGCATATAAAAAATTAAGATATTTACCAAAAAAAAGAACGAAAGTAGCCTAAATTAAAATCAAATAGCAAATTCAGGCAGTTCGTATACCTTTGCATAATTTCCATTGAAAAAAATCTAAAAGTTATTTGATTACGTCTTTTCATTATGTATATATTATATATTTATAATATAGTTACAACCGGCCCTTTGAGTGCAATTTAGTTTGACACCCCTGCTGTAAGGAGATACAGTTGATTTTTTTTGTATCCTAATCTCCTTACATGTTACTCCCCAAGGACGACACAAGTGTGGTTGGCATGTGCAAGGTGTGTGATTTTAGAGGTTACCTTGGTGCTAAATATAGGTTTGCTGTGCATGTGTGTGTGTGTGTGTGTGTGTGCGTGTGCATGTGTGTGTGTGTGCGTGTGCGTGTGCGTGTGTGTGTAGCTGTTTCCATTCTGTGCGTTTCACATTTATCCCATTAAATGAAGGCGAGGCTGCAGGAGAGCGGCTGACATGTTGATTAATGGTTTAATCAGCAGCAGTGTGTTTCTGCACGGCTGTGTCCTGCACCGACACAACACCACTTTACACCTGAGGGACACACACTGTCACACACACACTACCTTCACATACCCCTACACACACTGCATGGATAGAGACAGTAAACTCACAGCTGAAACTGCAGTATTTAGATCAAAACAAATCAGGAAGAACAATCTTTTTTGTGAGCTTTTGGGCCCATAACATTGTTACACACCAGTGGAACAAAAAAAACATGTTGTGTATTTGCGCAGATTACCTCTTAGAACCACCAAATGATAGTGTCACATGTTGCCTCATTTGCATATTTAAACATTACCTTTCAGAAAACTTGTAATATAAGAAATAATGAACTTAAAGTCAGTTATGAGCTGGGGTAGTTTCATGGTGATATATATTAGTGTGTTGCGTTGTATCTCTCTCTTAGAGTGTTTGGTGACACTTGTTACACCAATTGTGAATATTAAACATTGTTATGTGTTATTTAAAGCTACTGCTCACTTTGTGCGTTAGCTTAAAGTTAAGTTTACTCACAGCTCCCGAATTTTAGAGGACAAGCGTGGGCGTCCATGGGGAAATCCTCGAGCTGCATGGGGCACTCTGCAGCGATCGTGAGTCTGAGGAGAGAAGGAAGGAAGTCTCTATTAAGATCCCCATTAGCATTATCACTGGCTACATCAATGCTAATCACAACAAAACAACGATCAACAAAATCATCGTGCTCTCAACCATCGTCAAGCCAAATTAACAATCAATTAATTCCTCAAGAATTAATAACACACCTTTACTGCAAGTAAAATGTATACTGTATCATGTGATATCAAACCTCAGTCCTTTTCTGAAATAACCTTACATTTTATATATCTATCTAATCCTAAACAGTCAACGTCCTAAAAAATATAGGGTGTAAAAGATCAAAAATAAATCAGTAATAATTTATTACAGATAAAAAGGTAAAGGAAAAAGAGTAGACTTATATTCAAATTGAATCAAAGGGAAAGCACAGGTTATTTAATATACATATATAATAGACAAATAAGCAAGAGCAAATAAGTACAGCATGGTAGCAACAAATAAGTAGTAGTATTTACAAAAGACTGAATATATAAAGCAGGGTTTTCAAAACTACGGCCAGGGGGCCAAATGCGGCTCGTGGTCCCACACATGAAACTAGTGCTTGTCTTATATTGTAAATCTTAAATATATAAAACATTATATTACATGTGTTAATAAGCCACATTTTCTAATACATTCTGTCAATTACATTTGAAAACATTTTCTATAAAAATCTTACTTGAAAAAAAAGAAAGCCCAATCACTTGCTTGAAATATACACTTCCTATTTCCACTTATTATAAAAAATTAGAGGCCTCTGTTTAAAGGTGACCTATCATGCAAAATGNATATGCCGGGCCACAAAATTCACCAAAAGCAGCAAATAAGACCCCCCCCGAGCATGGGCATAAGGCATAAACAAACAAACCAGGTAGAAGATGGCGGATATTGTTGCTGATGGTTGTGGTAGAGGAGCTGTAGATTTTGCACTAAAATCTGTATCATGGTCAGTAGCGTCTGGAGCACGAACGCAACCCTGTGATCCGCCATTGTTGTTTTTGTTAGCGAAACGCATCAACAATGACGCGGGTGTGAGCAGGAGAGGTGGGGAGAGGCGGGGTTATGGCGTCATCGATTCAGGAAAATATCGTATAGGGGGTACACGGAGCCGCAAGCGTCTCCAGACTTACCCACTTTGGGAGCCGGTTTATCGGTTTCGGGGGCTCCGTTTCGGGTTCGCGTGGACGAACCGTATACGATAAAGAACTTTAGCGGAGACAACTGAAATCGTCTCCGTGTGGACGGGGCCTTAGCCTATCACATACAATGTGTTGGCGCGCTAGCTAATAGGAGCACGACTGTCACTATGTACCGGAAGTAAACAAAGGACCTAGGAGTTTAATAATTTTATAAGCTGCTGCTGGATTTCTTGACCTATAATGATGTGCTTGGTTGGTATTTGATGATTTGATATTTAAAGAAGTATAAAGTAGAATACAATTTCAATACTCAGATAAATACCTCAAAAGATTACTTACTTGAGTAAATGTACTATATTACTGTGTGGCCTATTTCAAAATCAAATATATTAAGTAGCATTAAACAATTTTAGAGTACTAAAGTAAATGTACTATTAACGATTTTTTTTGCCGTACATGTTCCTGTACATTATGAACCCCCCCCCTCCACTTTGTGTACATTACAGCTCTAGAAATGACTGCCCGCTGATAAACTCTCCAGCAACAAGCGGCAGAAAATGTATTATCATACTTCTTTATATAACACAATCCATCAGATGCCTTCCCCCCACCTCCCTTGACGATGTCCCCCCCCTCCTCCACGTGTCACCACTCATCAGCCAATCACAGAGCTTGACGTCCCTCAGTAAAAGCACAACTGATGGGCCTGCGTACAGATTAACCCTGCAGACCCGGGGGCTCAGACTGAGGATAAGTGATTTTTTGTGCCCCCTCCTCCGTCCTAGAGACAGCTGGCTATGTGTGGGAGGCTCTCTCAAATCCTTCCTTCATTGTCTCTATCCAACTTGATTTAAAAAAAATATATATATATTCTTCTCACAACATCTTTGGGTGGCACACAGTGTAATGACTCAGAGAGGAATAATAGGGTGGAGGCTGGGCGGGTTAATAACTGATGTAAGGGAAATAATGATAGATAAAAAGATAACACCAGGGGTCTAACTAACTAACAAGGCATAACTACAGAAATGTTATCACTTGATTTTTTCAGGATTTTTTCATGATTTATGGCGATGTAGCCACATGAATTCGGACTAAGGCAAACATCAGTCTTTCTAAGGCTATTTTAGACCAAGAACCATTTACCCCCAAAAAATAGTAGCCTACCCACCCAACTCCCCAAAGACACAATGTGACCACGCTATAGTTCCTTTAAAGCCCAATATTAGCCAACTTTATTTTAACTGTGATGACGTGAAGTCATGTGACCGTGCTGTAATTCCTTCATAGCCCAACATTAGCCACCTTTAGCTTAGTGGTGGTGACGTGAAGTCATGTAATCGTACTTTAGTTCCTTCATAGCTCAACATTAGCCGCCTTATAGCTTAGCGGTGATGACGTGAAGTCATGTGACCGTGCTGTAGTTCCTTTATAGCCCAACATTAGCCGCCTATAGCTTAGCAGGGGTAACTTGATGTCATGTGTAAGTATAATGACGTTTGTTTGCCACAGATCTTACTTCCTAAAACAATCCAAAATCAAACTAAATCTCATTGGCTTTTCGTCAAGGGATCCAGCGAGATGCTAACTTCAGGGTCGGCCTACACAAATGCGTAATCCCTACAAAACCCTCTATAGGTCATATTTGATCAGAGGCCTGTTCTTTAGTGTCCTCTCGCCTCACTGTACCTCTGCTGGTGTAGATGTCCTCGGTCCCTGCGGTCTGTCCGATCAGATGGTACTGATTGAGGCGAGACCCTTCCTCGGCCACAACCACAGACTTTGCTGCTCCCTGAGTCCACGTGTAGACCACCTCCGACACCGGATAGGCATCTATGAAAACAGGACAAACAGAAACTTATGAGTTCTCTTGAAAAGCAGTTAAAAAATTATACTTTTATTTCAATTATCAAAAGCTATAATGGCAAACATTCACTGGCTGCGAGTGAGGGTATGATCTTAGCAATCAACATTAGTGGAAAGGCTCTCGTAGTTTCTCATATACTGTACTTTCTTTTTTTTTACTTTGCTTAACTTGAGTATTTGCACATGTATCTGTTATTTAAGTAAGATTTTGAGTGTAGTACTTTTACTTGTAACATATATTCCTTAATACTTTCAAGAAAATGAAATGAAAGCTTTAGAGTCAGACGAATACAATTATCTCCAATTTGGAATATTTAGTAAAAAGGTTTTCTTTTATTCTAGAATGTTTATTAAAATGCCAATATCGTATATATTGAAGTGCCTTAAAGATCACCAAATTGTACATCAGATTTTACATTTACAATCCTAAACTATTCCAAAACCAAAAGAAAGTTCATTCTGAGAAAAAAGGGTGAGAAAGATGCTAATCCCCAAATATCTCCGGATGTAAAATAAAGTCACTTGGGATAAAAGCTTCTGACAGTGCAATGTTATGTGGCGGATCAAATCAAATTCATTTCCTGATTTACAACAAACACGGGGGCTGAAGCTGGAAAAGGAGTAATTTCCCTTCAGCACAGAGGCTTGCATGCTTCCTATATTAATTGTATGTTCTACTTTGACCTTTTGTTGTGACTTCCTCTCAGGCAAAGATGAGTTTGATAGATGACATGAATGCAATTATATAAGAGTTGTGTTTTTAGTCATGTTTTCAAGTGCAGGTTCTCTCGGGTTACATTTGGATGCCTCTGTTAACTCTGAATGAATTAAACCCCTTACAGGGACTCACCGTTAAGCAGATAAACTCACATAGTTCAGTGACTTTTTACAATTTGTCCATTCAGATTTGGCAGATTAGAAAAATGTAACACAAGTAGCATGCTCTGTGACAACAAGGAGCTAACAAAATAAGTAGTTCCTGAATAAACTTCATCGTACAATGATGGTCATAATTACATAATATATGTGACCTTAAGCAACTTTAAGGCTTTGTGTAGTTTAATGAAAACTAAGTTGTATGAATATGCTCTATCATCAACATCAGCGTTATTCAGTCTCAACTCAGTTTCTAAATTAAGACAGAAACTACAGACGTCCTATTACTTAGAAATGTATTATAGTATATTAAAAAGGGAGGAAGTCAATGTGACGTCATCCAGGGGTTTGAGCAGACTTGTTTTTATGGAACCAAAAGCGACATTGGAGTATAGAGCTATGTATGACCAAATTGCTGAACAAGACGTTTTAAATTGACCAACATTTTCCCAAAAGTAAGAACAAAAAATAGACAACGCTGTGATAGAAACCTGTCAATCACAGGTGACCCCAACCTAAAGCATAGCCTGTTTCATAGACTTCTATACATCCACACAGGGCCGGTTCTAGACAATTTGATGCCCTAGGCGAGATTTTAGGCCAGATAAGCCAACATCCCCCACTTTCATCACTTAGAGCACCATTCGTACAGGGCAAATTAAAAGTGTAACCGCCGGGGTGAAAAGGGTGTTACATTTACTTAATTATGAATGTTGTTACATCTAGGCCGAAAATTAGGATGAGCACCAACGGTCAACAATGTTTTTTTCCCTCCCAGAGCTATCAGCGCAGCGCCCCCCCCCAGATCTGGCGCCCTTGGCGACCGCCTATGTCGCCTATGCCAAAAACCGGCTCCGCATCCACACATTTAAATAGAACTATGGAACTACATCAAGATCATGCATTATTCAAGAACATGTTAACTAAGGTAGTTAATAGAGTAAAAGTGAAAACAATTGTAATTTTCTCATAGCCCTCGATAGATCTATACATTTAAAGTAAAAGTTATATAGAACATATAACATAACATAGAACGACAGATTGAGATCATGAACTCATAATGAAAATGTTAACTGAAGTTATAAATAAAGTAAGAAGCAGGGACATTTTCTCATAGGCTTCTATACATTTAAAGTAAAAGTTATTGTGATGCCTTATCGACAGGGCTATATGAAACTGGAGATTTAGACCATGAACTCGCTAAGATAATGTTTGCTTAGGTATTAAATCAAGAAAAGTGAGAGGTAAGGAACAATTCTCATAGACTTCTATCCATCCATACATCCAAAGTTGTTGTAATACCTTGTGGACCTTGTAGGCTACATGAAAAGACAGATTGAGCTCATGAAATCAATAAGAAAATGTTTGCTTTGGTATTAAATCAACAAAAAGTGAGAAAAGGAGTAATTGTCTCATAGACTTCTATACAATCAGACTCTATATAGACAGTTCGTTGTCGTTATTCGTCAGTTCCCAAGATGTTTCTAGCTACACTGAACAACAATATAAATGCAACACTTTTGTTTTTGCTCCCATTTTTCATGAGATGAACTCAAAGATCTAAAACATTTTCTATACACACAAAATAACCATTTCTCTCAAATATTGTTCACAAATCTGAAAAAATCTGTGATAGTGAGCACTTCTCCTTTGCCGAGATAATCCATCCCACCTCACAGGTGTGGCATATCAAGATGCTGATTAGACAGCATGATTATTGCACAGGTGTGCCTTAGGCTGGCCACAATAAAAGGCCACTCTGAAACGTGCAGTTGTGCTTTATTGGGGGGGTCTGGGGGGGTCCGAAAACCCTAACCCTAACCCTAACATGTCACCCATTGAGCATGTTTGGGATGCTCTGGATCGGCGTATACGACAGCGTGTTCCAGATCCTGCCAATATCCAGCAACTTCGCACAGCCATTGAAGAGGAGTGGACCAACATTCCACAGGCCACAATCAACAACCTGATCAACTCTATGCGAAGGAGATGGGTGACATGTTAGGGTTAGGGTTTAAGTTTTCGGACCCCCCCAGACCCCCCCAATAAAGCACAACTGCACGTTTCAGAGTGGCCTTTTATTGTGGCCAGCCTAAGGCACACCTGTGCAATAATCATGCTGTCTAATCAGCATCTTGATATGCCACACCTGTGAGGTGGGATGGATTATCTCGGCAAAGGAGAAGTGCTCACTATCACAGATTTTTTCAGATTTGTGAACAATATTTGAGAGAAATGGTTATTTTGTGTGTATAGAAAATGTTTTAGATCTTTGAGTTCATCTCATGAAAAATGGGAGCAAAAACAAAAGTGTTGCATTTATATTGTTGTTCAGTGTAGCTAGAAACATCTTGGGAACTGACGAATAACGACAACGAACTGTCTATATAGAGTCTGATTGTATAGAAGTCTATGAGACAATTACTCCTTTTCTCACTTTTTGTTGATTTAATACCAAAGCAAACATTTTCTTATTGATTTCATGAGCTCAATCTGTCTTTTCATGTAGCCTACAAGGTCCACAAGGTATTACAACAACTTTGGATGTATGGATGGATAGAAGTCTATGAGAATTGTTCCTTACCTCTCACTTTTCTTGATTTAATACCTAAGCAAACATTATCTTAGCGAGTTCATGGTCTAAATCTCCAGTTTCATATAGCCCTGTCGATAAGGCATCACAATAACTTTTACTTTAAATGTATAGAAGCCTATGAGAAAATGTCCCTGCTTCTTACTTTATTTATAACTTCAGTTAACATTTTCATTATGAGTTCATGATCTCAATCTGTCGTTCTATGTTATGTTATCGATTGTATTTTTTTTTTTTTTAATTCCGAGAACATTTTGTTGACAGGCTTTCCGTTTGACTGTTACAAAACCGCTGTCTAAACAAAGTACCCCAAAAATTAGCGCACTTTACCAGGCTAAGCATAATACCAGCTCCTGGCATCAACTAAATATACTTATATAACTAGAAAACATATGTGGTTCTGAACGGAGCCATTATGCATAACGTGGTAGCTTTTGTAAGCAGAGTATTCTTGTGTTTTTATTATTGCGCTACTTTTTAAGAAACGTTTGGAATCATGTCTGGCTGATAGTAATACTCATGCAATATCAATATGCCACTTTATATGACAGTTCGATTTGAAAAAAATATTATTTATTAATCCCAAGGACGTTATGTGAGAGAGACGCTGTGAAATGCAGAAAACACTTCCACCATACTGTGGCTGAATACATGCCGCATAATTCTGTTTTGGTGTGAAGTGTGTGGTGTGTGTGTTGTGTGTGTCGTGTGTGTGTGTGTGTAGTGTTGTGTGTGTGTGTGTGTGTGTGTGTGTGTGTGTAGTGTGTGTGTGTGTTGTGTGTGTGTGTGTGTGTGTGTGTGTGTGTGTGTGTGTGTGTGGTTGTGTGTGTGTGTGTGTGTGTGGTGTGTGTGTGTGTGTGTGTGTGTGTGATTTCTGTCCAAGTCTAACAGTAATTGGCATTACAATCGCAGCACTGTGGTGTTTAGAAGGCATCATTAGATTTACGACGCCCCTTGCCAAGCCAAGTCTGTGGATATCTGTCTCAAAGACCACTCCACAATGTTCACAACAACAATAAGTCTTTGTAAGAGCTGCGTGACGTGAGGCATATGAATCTTCTTCTAAGGAAAGCCAAATTACTTTTGCATATTATTAAAGCAAATACCAGCAAAGGTATAAGAGCGAAGACCCTAGATGGTGAAAATGTACGGTGTTACAACAGCAAAGGGACAAAGCAGGCGAAATAATTGTCTGCTAGACTGCCTAGATAACGACGTGCATTGACCAAACCTGATCGTCTGTTTATGTCCTTTAAGGAGTAGGCTGCTTCAGCCATAATGTCTGTTGTTCGCCATCTGTGAGCCGGGCAAGCCCTAGTCACAGATGGTTATTTAGTTGCGGGTGCACTGGACACTTCCTTCTTTGTTGTTTGTGGACTCCCAAGGTGTGAAATCTTCGAGGCCATAAGTATCCGGCAGCGGCAAGTGACCTCGTGTCTCCCCAAACTGTTTAGGCTATCTTCTCAAAATATGTTTGATTACTAATCATGTGAAACGCAGTTAAATGGGGCCCTAACGAGAGGAAGCTCCTAAATAACAACCATCAGTGTTTGAACATGCAAAGCTCCTGCCTTCCCGCGTCTCTTTCCTGAGTGAGTCGGTGACTCCCACGCTATATTCGGGCGTACGAAGAAGTTTCGCCTGTACAAGTATGCTTTACAATTATGTTTCAATTTGTAGCTTAGCTTAAAAGTTCTGCACTATTTCTAGCGTGATAAGATGACGCTGTAGGAATGGTCGCTAAAAAACCAATAAGTTAGCATTTTAGGCAGTGCTTCGCTGTTTCCATCTTTTTGGCTTTTTAAAGATGCCAAAATATGGATGGGGTTAGCAGCAAGCTTAAAATTTTCTTCTGCCAGCCAAAACAACTTCAAGCTTTTAACACATCTTAAAACCGGCTGTAGGGCTAACAAGTGTCTAAATGAAGACTAGCTAATGATCATGACATGCCAAACTTAGCGCTTTAGCTAGATGGGCTATAACACAGGAGGCCTCATGCTACGGTGGACAGCTATGTTGGTAAAATAGGCAGCTTATGATCAAAGCAATATCAATATTAGGCTGACCATAGAACAAATATCTGATCCTTTCGTTTTTTGGTACTCAGCGTACAAATTGTTTGCAGCTTTTTCAAGGCAGAAGTAATTTGGTTCGCTAATGATCAGCAAGCGCAAGCAACAATTTTTTGTGATGAGAAGTTCCAACGGAACGCTGCAAAAGCATACGACAGGCAAATCAAATGGCCCCATAAACAGATATATTTATAACTGGGACAGCTGTACTCAATTGTATCAAAGCAAGAAGAGCTAAAAAGACTAAAAGAGACGCTTTAGATAAATCTGATGAACCAAAAATCTATCTCATCTGTGTTCTATTCATCTAACTAACTAAGCTAACGAAACTAAACTAACTAACTACACTAACTAACTAACTAAAATGAAATAAACGTAAACACGCAGCATGATAAACCACTAGAAACCATTACTCAAGCCTTAGGGTTAGGGTTAGCTCTTGTGGGCCAGATTTACAAGCTAGAGCTGTTAAATATTTAAATGTGTATTCCGCTCATCTAACGCCTAGGCCTTAAGCGACGCAACACTATCCTTTAAATTGTCACATCTAATTTACCACACAGCTTTGCAGTTGGTTGTTGTTGTTGTTGTTGTTGTTGTTGTTGTTGTTGTTTCACAATGTTGTATTACTCACAGGGTTTCCAATTATCGGTTAGAGCGGAGGAAAACTCATATTCGATTCGAGCAACAAGCTCTCAAAGTTGTTCTGTTGGGGCTCTTCTGTTTTGGTCGGCTCCAGTGTTATGTGAGTTTTATCGTGTGCTCTCTTCATATACAGTAAATCTGACATTTAAGAGGTGTCGGCGCTAGCTTCTGCGCTAACAATGGCGAAAGAATGAAGAAGTGTGGATGTTTTAATAAGCGTTTACACAGGAGTTGCAAAATCTGTTCAGTCACTCGGTATCAATATCTGAGTAAAGAAAATAGTCTCGTCTTTGAAGGTTTGTTTAACATGCAGCCAGCCTGTAAACTGTGATATTTGACCTGCAGAAACATGGCAATGGCTGAGAAGATAAACCCCGGCGCCTTGAAAAGGTTCTCCTTACGTATTAAGCAGTAATTGAGCTGGGGAAGCACAGGACCCCATCGGAACATAACCCCACACACGATGTAGCACGTCGTGTTCTGCAGAGAGGTGATCACGCTATCGGTCCAGCGGGAAGGTTCTCCTGCAGATCTAAAGCCCTGCAGAGTGCTGCCATCTAGCTCAAGGACTTACGCAAAAGGGTTAATGCAGTCGAGAAAAACGGGAAAAGCACTTGCAGCCAGCAGCGTAAGCTCCTTAGCACTAATAACCCTTACAATGGTACCTCTTGTACTGGGACACAGGGCTTTTAATAGACAGCGCAATATCTGGTCAATAAAGAGACATCTCTTTCTCTAGCTGCATGTTTTTGTTTGATAATGGAGCAAGTTTACTTTGATGTTTCTTGTGTAATAGATGCGCTTGAAAGTTCATAGATCTGATTAAAAATACGAGCACAAACATGTCTGAAATAGGATTTTTAGCAACCTCAAAGCCTAAGAAATCTACCATTGTATTAGTGTTGAAATGTAAACTAAAGTACATCCACAAAAGACAGATTTTGAGGGACTAGGTTCATTTAGTCCGGAGCTGTATTTATTAGTGTACAGTTTTGAGGTAGGCTTAGCTTGAGTGTTTCCATTAAATAATCAGGCATATATTTGCTACTTATACTTCTAATCCGCTACATGTCAGCAGGGAGGCTATTGTATTTTACTTGTAAAACAAGTTAGATACCAATCCTGGTTANTTTAGATGAGAATAAAACAAAAACTGTCCAGTATCAAAGACTCATTTCACTTCAGGGTGATAGCAGGACATCCCATCTAGTCACTCAGAAAAAATCAGGACATTCTGATGTACAGTTTCAAAATAAAAGACCTTTGAAGTCTCATATACGAGCTATCATCCCTGTCCCCAAAGGTCTTTTATTTTGAAACTCTACATCAGAATGTCCTGATTTTTTCTGAGTGACTAGATGGGATGTCCTGCTATCACCCTGAAGTGAAATGGATCTATGATACTGGACAGTTTTTGTTTTATTCTCATCTAAACACAGAGGGAGGATTTTTGACTCTACCGTAATGCATAGGATATTCGCGCACCGCAATATCACGTGAGGGCTGGCTTTACTAGGTTTTTCCGAGTGGAGGCTGGCTTGACCGCAGTCTAAACTAGAGAGAGAATCGCTGTTAAGGGGGCTACAACTACAACAAGATGAACATATTTGAC